GCCGGGACGCACGAGAGGAGGCGGCGCCTGCGCAGCTTCCCTGTCGCGGTCGGGGGCGCGCCCGGCTCGGTGTGGTCTTCGCTTTCGCCTTGGTTACAAGTAGATCCCCTGGCCTGAGTCTTCCTGGAGTCTTCGCTTGGAGTCCGCGCAGGCCCTCGTCTTTCCTCTACCTACTGCATCGCACGAAGCTCGAGTTCTCCCCCCAGGAGCCTGCTGAGGCGGCCGAGGGGACAGCGGCCGCTGGGGCTCTCGCCCCAGGGCCCCTTTGAATGGCGAGATGCAAGGAGCAGCCTCTCGCGGAGATTCGCTGAAGCACACTCTCTCCTAGCTCTGAAACACAAGGAAGAGTTGTTGCCTGGGCCCCCAGGCGTGAGCGTCGGCCCCAGCACCGGAGCTGCAATGCCAGTTTCACTTTCCTGTCTTCCAGCGCATATGTGGGGGGGTACGGGTCTGTAAGATTCTCCCCCAGGTCTCGATTACCTAAGGACCTGGCGGTCCCCGGCTCCTTCAGGGAGAAAGATGTCCTTCCGGAGAAGGACAGCTGTGCCCAGCGCTCCCTAAGGGAGGCAGGAAGGTGCTGAGACTTGCCAGAGTCCAAGTTACTGCGCCCAAGCAGCTCGCCAAAGACTTCCAAGTGATGAAAACAGTAGCCCAGTGTGAGCAGGGTGCTGAGTGAGCTTTTTAGTCTCCGGTTTTAAGACAAAACTTGGATACTTTCCTTTGAACTGCGGCTTTCCGGGAAGCAGGCTGAATAAGGATCCAAGACAAGGACTCTGCACAATCAGGCCTTTGATTTCTGCACCCTGCTTTTGAAGCAGCTAGTATCCAAGTACCCAAAAACAAACAAACAGCCAAGCCGACAAACATTCTGGGAGCCTTTCAGCTTGGAGGTCACTCAGATACTTCCGTGACAAACCTGTTGTGTGATTATTTCCAAGTGAATTTTTAAAAATTGATCCATAAGATAATGTTTGTGGGGTTTACGGAGTACTTTAAAATCTCATTACAAATAGGTCTTCTTTCACACTGATAGCAGTATTATTATTCTAATATATTGCATTCTTAAAAATCAGGTCATATTTTAAAATTCTGTTTGGATACTGGATCTTTAGCAAATGGGAAGGGAACCAAGACGGAGGCAGGGGGAGAGGAGGACAAAAAGGGAATGAAATTGTGCTGTCCAGGCACCAACCGCCCATGGCAAATGCAATCATGTACTGCAAACGTATCGTAAAAAGTGAAATTGAAAAAAAAGAGTAAAATCCAACCTCAGCGAAGTGTAAATCTTACCTTCTTCCTCTTTAACCCAGGTGACTGGGTCTGTTTACCTCATTGTTATCATGGGAATCATATGGGTACTTGTTTTGAACAATTCGTTTTGAAGACAAGGATATTGTGAGGCAGCCTGTTAATCTTTTTTAATGTCATAGCCTTTTTGCCTGTTATTCTGTGGTGTTGGGAGTGGAAGAAATATCATCCTGTGTTATGCACAGTAGCCTTCGCTGACTAAAGGTCACGCTGTCCCTGAGCTGACCCCTCCCTGCACCCTTCGTGCCCTTCCTCACAGGTGAGACTCAGGAGGGAACGGGGATCAGGGCACTGACCACTTGCTGGAAAGAAAAGGGAAGCTTGTAGTTCTCTGCTGTTTGGACTCAAAGCTGTGGGCTCAGTGCACACTCCACCTGAAGGCAGCAGATTTCTGGTCAGATGCATCACGGAGTACCGTTTAAGCTACCACTATACACTAATCCCTGTCCTTTAGCTATAGACGAGACCCCGTGAGCTTAGGTAGTTCTGTGGATGGATGAAGCCTAATTTTCATTTATCCATTCGGTCATCCAACAGATGTTTTTGGAGTGCTTGAAGTGTGTCAGGTGTTTAGATAGTTGCCAGGTTTACAAGATTATAGCAGCAACAACTATTTAATGAATAGATTTCATGTGCGGCACCCGGTTCTCATTTAAATATAAGTGACTGTTACGCTTTAGGTCTAGGTGTACCCCTGAAGCCTCATACACTCAAAGGCAGCATTTTGGGGGGATGACTGGATGGTGGAAGCTGTGGCTGACTTGCTGCTAGGAGGTGGGGTCTGGTCCGAAGAGGCAGCCCCTGGTGGTGTGGGTTGGATGGGTTTTTCTCCCTCGCCAGCTTTTCCCTCAACCTCTCTCTGCTTCCTGGAGGCCTTGATATGAGCAGTTCTCCACTAGGCCCTCTGCTGGGCCGCCCTGCCCTGGACCAGCCAACTGTGGGCTGAAATGTGAGCCCAAACCAACCTATGCTTTTTGAAGTTGTGGAGTCTCAGTGACAAGGAAAGTGACTAAGACAGTGACCAAATTATGGCCAGCATGTGTTATGGGTCCCTTTTGCAAATGCATATTTCAAGTGGCATCTAAATAACAGCATTAATGGTTACAAAGCAAAAATAGCCCTTTTACTAATATTAAAAAAGTTAAAATACTTTATTCGTACATGTAAGTACACTATAAACATCAAATAATACTTTGAAAATTTATGTTGAAATTACAGAACAGGTGGCATGGACCCAGATTGGACAAGCATGAAGCACACACAATGCAGAGGGACTACACCCAAGTAGGCTGCCTGCCATGTGCTCACAACGGCAAGCAGGGCCAGGACGCCTGCTGGGCCCCTCTTGATGCTAGAGACATTTCAGAGGGGTTCTTTGGCTTATTATAGAAAAAAATTATTACATAAATTACTAGTGCATATCTCATTATAGAAATATCCAAGCAAGAAGTTGAGAAAGCTGGGCCAGGGATTTAGCTCAGTGGTGCTGCTGCCTGCCTTGAAAACACAAGGCCCTGAGTTCAATCCCTGATACCAAAAAAAAGTTGAGAAAACATTGGAGTGACCATGCATGAATTTGTTCCCCCAAATTCAGTAAGCATGAACTCATGATCACTCCTTTGACTTTATGTCCTCAGCCCCTCATGCTGCCAGTGAATTATCTGCCCATAAAATTCCCAGGTTTCATGTCATGTTGGCCATAAAAATGTCAGTCTGTTTATTTAAAAGATAAGGATCTTTTTCCTGACATTGCTGAAATACTCAGCATACCTCATAAGAATACTGGCTTAGTATCATCATCAGCATCCAGGAAGAGGTTAAATTTCTCCTATTTTCTTGTAAATATTTTTACAGCTGGTTTGCGTGGCCCGGATTCAAACAAGGTCACACGTTGTATTTGGTTGAGTGCAAGATGGGAGAGGCCAATGTCTCAAAGTTTCCTCTCATCCCTCAGGAAAATTCATTGCTTCCTTGAATCTCACTGTGCTGCTTTTTATAGATACTTCTTTTGTCCTTATTTCAAAAATAATAACTACGCACTCTGAAAATACAGATTAAGTAAAAATGAAAAAAGGTCATTTGATAGAGATAACCAATATTATTTTTGGTGTATATCATATTGGTGCATGTTTTTAAAGAAAACATTTAATGCATATTTCTAAAATGGTATCTCTCCCTGTCTGCTCACCTATCTGGCTATCTGTACAAATAAATGTTGAAATTACTGAGGGAAAAGATGTAGCGGGGCCCCATGTTAGGCTATCTTGCAGGGGCTTCTGAACTTTTCCCCCAAAGAAAAGTGACTATGGAAAGATTGGTGAGCGTCTAGCACAAGAAAACTGTCAACTGTCACCAGATAGGGTCCTAGGAGTCCCGGAAGTGGAGATAAGGAACCTGACACATAGAATAGGCTCACAGGTTTGCTGACTCCTATGGAAAAAGAATTCCCAGGTCACATCAGTAAGAGGCAGAAATCAAAAGGATCACACTCATGATACAGAAGATGAAATATGAAATATTGTAGCTCCCAACCTGTTAGATGTCTGAGGTGCTGGGGATCCTACTTTATAGGGGAGTTTTATAGAGCACAACCACGTACAATGTAGGTACAACGTGCCTTTCAGCTATGATCAACAAATCAGGCTACAAGTATAGTTGCTTAGGTAACAGTGTCCAGTTGGGAAATAAGTCACATAAGAAGTGTGCATGGCAAGAACAAAGACTTCTACGAGATGGTGGGCCCAGAGGCCCTGGTTACCACGGGGTGGGCAATGTCCATCTAGGTTTCATTAGGCCCAATGTTTGTCCTTTGAGGAAGTGTGCAGGCCTGGTCATCTCGTCTACCTTGAGCCTGGTCTCCAACAGATGTTGTGATGTGTTTCACCTTTGTCCTGACTCTTAGGACCTGGCCCTATCTGACTGCTTGTAATATTTCTCTGTAGCTTAGCTCTGTATAATACTCAGAGAAATAGAGAGCGAGAGAGAGAGAGAGAGAGAGAGAGAGAGAGAGAGTCTTATTTTCAGGAGTTGGTCTCATTCACGCTTCTCTTGAGAGGTGAAAATCCCAGGAAAAAGTGGCCCAGTCCCAGAAGGGTACTAGTCTGCTACAGGAGTGGGCCAGTTCTGTTTACTTATTTTAAGATAGGTAGTTTAAACATTCTTTGAATTCTCAGGCCAGGGATTTAGCTCAGTGGTTCCGCTGCTTGCCTTGCAAGCAAAAGGTCCTGAGTTTGATCCTGGGTAGAAAAACAAAACATTCTTTTGATTCTCTCAACCTGTCCCTCTATCTTGGGATTGAGTTCTTGCTCTTTTCTCTGTCAATTAAGCCAGTGTATGGGCTTTAGTGTTCCTGGGGAGTTTGGGGTCTGGAAGGGGCCGAGTGACCATGAGCCCTCACCCAGCTCGTGGTCTGCACAGACAGCGGGCCATCTGGGAATCTCTCCTGGGGATGGAGGCAGTGTGGAGACCAGCGAGGGGCCTGAGAGCTTCAGCGCAAGAAATTCTTCATCTGCTCCAGTTGGAGGAAAGTCGAGCCCATCGTGGCCGTGTTGTCTTCATACTTTTTGGCCCGACTCTGATCTTGCCTGTTGTTAAGCTGGCCCCATGAGAGGCCCTGATTTTTCTCCAACACAACAGACCCGCTCCTGCCTCAGGGCCTTTGCATTTGGTGTTTCCTCTCCCCTTGATGGTCTTCCTTTAGCTGTTTCTAGAACATGACCTCTGACGCACAGCATTTCTTAGCTGAAAACATGTTCTCGTGGAGCTCTGCTGTCTCCAGTTCCTGAGGGACCAAACCAAAGTGGAGAGCAGCATGCAGGGCATTTCCTAGGGAGCCCTCTTGGGTCAGCCCTGGGGGAGGAAAGGAGTGAGAAAGAAGCAGGAACTGTCAGGGGAGAAATTGAGTGACAAAGCAGACTCGGTGTGGTGCACCCTGTCTCAAAGAATGACCAACAAACCTAAACACATAAAATATATTCCCAGCATCTAGAATACTGTCTTTTGTATAATAAATGCTGGTCACATACCGATGCCTAGAACTAGCTTTGATCTATCCCAGGAGTAAATACATAGCTAGATAAATGAGGAAAGTAAGATTGGCCGTGGGGTGGTAATTATTTTGTGAGTGCACAGAGGTTCCACATGGAGTTCTCTCTTGTTTTGGATGGTCCGAAAGTGTTCACAATAAAAACAGTGAAAAGTTTCTTTTAAACTTACTGTTCACAGGTGGACAGTGGGAAGAAAGGCTGTTCTCCCCCTTCCTGGTCCCAAGGTGCCATGACGGGGTCGGCAGTGCCTCCAGCTATCCCCACAGGTTGCAGCTGCCACCGCGCCCCAAGTGGCAGCCACCAGGCCCCGCGTGATTAGGGTCGTGGTTCAAAGACCCTGGGGAACTGGGCTGGCAGCTCGCCGGGAGTGCACGGGGTGATCAGACAGGACCAATGTGCTCAGAGACTGACAAGGACTCTGCAGGGCCCGTGTAAGGGTCCTCGCCCCTTGGTCCTCAGGTGGGCCGTCCCAGGGCTATTTGAGCTACACCATGGTCCTTTTTATAGTTTTTAGAAACAGGCTCTCCCTAAGTTGCCAGGTTGGGCTAGATCTTTCGATTCTCCTGCCTCAGCCTCCCAGAGTGCTGGGGTCGCACCCGGCTCATGGGAGCTTTTACGGTGACTTCCGCCTGGAGTAGTCTCTGGGGACATCCTCCCTTCCTGCAAGACCTGGCTCAAATACAGCTTCTCAGTGATGGGTGATTAGGGTTTGTGCCCCTTTCCCCATTGCCTTGCGCCTTCTTTTCAGGATTTCCTGCCACCAGGGAATAAAGAAAATGAAAATGAAAATTAAAGAAAGTCCCTCCGCCAGCCTCCCCGTGTGGAGCGATGTCCTTCCTCAGTCTCTCGTGGGCCACTGGGCTGGCCTTGGCCCTGTGTCTCTCCACCTCCACCCCCAGCTCCTGGCTATTTCCGGGACCCATTCTACATGTCGTGTTCGCTTCTCTCTTCCTGTTCCCCTTGGTGATTTTCTGTGCAGTGACCTAATCTCTGGCTCCGATCCCCATGTGAGAGCCACTGTCCTACCACGAACATGTAGTGGAAAAAGGTCAAGGAACCCGTGGCAGCGATGGCCTCTGCCCCAGCACTGCGTGAAGCGCACGGAATATAAATCCTATCTCCGTGACGCTTTTCCCATAGAAGCGGAGCCGGGCTGGGCCAGCCAGAATCTGGGGACCAACTTCCCAGCAAAGAGTGGGACAGGGACGCCCATAGGTGGGGTGCCTGCGAGAGTCCTGCTCCAGGAGATCTCAGCTGGAGTCTCATTCCAGTGTCAGGCCCGAGTCCAGCGGCTACAGGAAGAAACGCATGCGGAAGCAAAGGGACAAATCCAGAAGCAGGAAGGCCACGGAGGCGTCTTGGGCCCTGCTCCGAGATCCCTGTCACGATCCTGTGAGAGCGTGCTCAGAGCTGCGCCAGCCTTCGCGGACTCAGGGAGGAGACAGAAGCTGTGTGCGGGATTCGGCTGGACGCTGTCATGAATGATGTTTTTGTACAGCCAGAAAATTCAGATGCAGAAGTGTTATTTCATTCATCTACAGGAGTGTTTGAGGCTGGGTGTGGTGACACACACCTGTAATCCCGGGAGTGGGCAGGCTGAGGCAGGAGGAGTTCAAGGCCAGCCTTGGTTACATGGTGAATTCAGGGCCAGTCTGAACTACATAGTGAGACCCTGTCTCAAAAAACTGAAACAAGCAAACAAACAAAAGGAATGATTGTGTGTTTGTTGGATATCATGGGTCTCTGTCCTTAATGTTTAGAGGAGACTGCTAAGTCGTTCGGAGGTAGAATGTCACGGTGTCTGGTATCTGTAACTTATTCTTAAAAACGTCAGCCAAATCTTGAAAGCGGCCCATGAGTCCATCAGCTGAGGCAGGAGGATCTCTGTGAGTTCGAGACCAGCCTGGGCTACATAGTGAGTTCCAGGTCAGTCCCAACTTTATAGTGAGACCCTGTCTCAAACAAACAAACAAACAAACAAAAAAAAGTATAAAAGGTTTCTAGCAATTCTGATTCATGGAAAAGTATCAGTGCTTATCAATTTCTGCAGCAGATGTGTGGATGACAGAAATGCTGGCCCAGATATGGCTGAATGTTATATTTCATACACCAGGTGTGGTGGCACATGCCTATAATCCCAGCACTCTGGAGGCTGAGGCAGGAGGAGCACTGTGTGTTCAAGACCAGCCTGGACTACTTAGTGAGTTCCAGGTTAGTCTCAACTACATAGTGAGACCCTGTCTCAAAAAACAAAAAACAAAACAAACAAACAAAATTTCATAGAGCATGATTCGTTTTGAAATGAAGGGAATGAAAAAAATATATAAATATTTTATATCTAGGCAAAATTTCATGCAAATAAGTTCACAAATCAGGAAAAAATCTTATGATTATGATACATATACAATATGTGATCTTACAATGGGATTATAAAACATGGCAAAGATAAACATTAGCATTGTTATTTTCTCTTTTGTATTGTTTTGGGATAGAATCTCACTATCCAGTTCAGGCTGGCCTTGAACTTACCATATTGTCCAGGCTGGCCTCAAATGGTGATCCTCCTGCTTCAGCCTCCTGAGTGCTGGGATCGCAGGTGTGACCCACCTTTCCTGGCTTAGGGTTTTGCCTTGTAAATAGGAGACTCACAGCATGGTTATCTGCAGGTTTCTTGGAATGATCTGATAGAAAGAAGCACTGCCAAGGCGGGGCCCGTAAAGACTCACTGGGGCAGAGAAGGCAGGGATTCTGGAGGAGGCCTCATCCCCAGGGCTCCCACCAGATGTGCTAGTGGCTCCCGAGGGGTCTCATGGGGTTGCATATGCATTCTTGGGGAGTAGGAAACAAAATCACCACCAGAAGATGGAAATAATGTTCCTGTAAACAATTTAATACAGGCTGTGTGTGTGTGTGTGTGTGTGTGTGTGTGTGTGTTTTGAGACACAGTCTTGCTATGCAGTTCAGACTGCCTTCAAACTTGCAGTGATCCTCCTGCCTCAGCCTCCAGTTCTGGAATTTACAGGCATGTGCCACTGGCCCTGGGCATACATGCCTCCTGCAGCACTTTCTTATGCCTTTCTGAGGGAGACACATTAGAGATGACAATGTTGGGTTACACTTGGTAAAAATGGAACCAAGTAGAATTTTTTGGAATCAAAATTCCTTCTGATTTAAAAAAGTAGAAGCTACAGAAATTTAGAAGTAAGTCACCTCTCACTGCTTCTCCTAGTAATTTTTACATTTTATTTTTTTGAGACGGGTTCTCACTGTGTAGTTGAGGCAGATCTCAAACCCATGGTGATCCTCCTGCCTCAGCCTCTCAAGTGCTGGAATGACAGGTGTGTGCCACCATGCCTGGCTTGAATAAGTATCTTTTAATACATTTAAAATATACAAATATGTAAGTATATTTTACAAGCACATTGTAGCATACTTTAAATATACTAATTTTTCAATGTGATTAAGGCAAATAGGTCAATTTTATGTACAGTTTGCATGTATTTTATGTACAATTTGATTATAACCATAAAAATATTCTTAGAGAAGAAAGGGTCAGAAAAGAACATAAAAATATGGTAAGGGTTAAGTAAGATGCCTAAAATGTCTGTGATCTGATAATATTTTTATTTTTTCTGATATTTTTAATGAGAAAAAAACCTTACAAGTTTTTTTAAAAAGCTATTTGTTGTAGCAACCCTCAGAGAAAACTTCTAGAATTACTCAGCAATTGGGCCAACCTATTAATTGCCAGAACAATTCTCCTTTCCATTCATGTGACAATGGATGTCACTTTACAGGGTTGGATTTACACGGAAAGAACTCTCAAAATTACAGATGGTTTTAGTTTCCTCCGGCCCTCCGGAAATGTGAGGAAATCCTGCCTCCTGGTGGACAGTGGGAGTCATTTCTGTCCCATTCCACCCTGAGGGGCTTTCTGCTGTCCCCTCCTGCGTGCACCCAAATACTCAAATATTTTTGGTGTGGTATAGGGCCTGGTGGTACATACGTGTAATCTCAGCCCATAGGAAGTTGAGGCCAGCTTGGACTGCCGAGTGAGACCTAGTCTCAAAAAAACAAAACACCACCAAAGGCTGGGGATGTAGCTTAGTGGCACCAAACCTGTGCAAGGTCCTGAATTCGATCCCCAGTACCAGTAAGTAAATAAATAAATAAGTAAACAAATACAACCACCAAACCCCACAAATACGTGTGGCACGAATAAATGAGCGCTAGTCTTCCTTCTATGACCCCCTCCACAGGGTCTTGCTATGTAGTCCAAGCTGGCCTCGAACCCATGGCGACCGACCAGGCTCTGCCCTGGGTGCTGGGGTTATAGGCATGTGCCACCGGGCCCAGCTGTATTTATTCCTAGAGTTACTCTTAAACTATGGTGACTAGGGGCCGGGGATTTAGCTCAGTGGTTCGCTGGCCTGCCTTTCAAGCACAAGGACCCAAGTTCAATCCCCAGTACCAAAAAAAAAAAAAAAAAAAAAAAAATGGTGACTAGAGTTGACAATTATTCCCCTGTGAATCTATGTAGAGTAGAATAATAGGGATATTTCTGTCACCACTGTGACTTTTATAAACTTGTAGGTGCAAGTGGAAACTCTGGCAAACCAGATTACTCCAAAATTATACTTGTGATTGGTTTTTTTAAAATTATTAAGTCTTTGTTTATATTGTTGGTTCGATTTTTGGTTCCATTTGATTGTATTTAAATCTGTTTAAATTGTTCTGAAATTTGATTCTCTATCTCTCCCTCTCTCAGTACTGGGGATGGAACCTAGGGCCTTTGCCCTGAGCTACATCCCTGGCCCTTTTGTATTTTTTATTTTGAGACAGGGTCTCACTAAAATCACTACGGTATCCAGGGTGGTCCCAAACTTGCCATCCACCTGCCTCAGCCTCCAGTGTGCGATTACAGGACCCAGCTTGAAGACTCGGTTTTTCGAGGCAATGTTCATCTTCAGGCTTTGGGAGTACATTGCTGTTTTCCCTTGTTAATATGTTCTTTCAGTGATTTTTAGCAATTTCTTTAAAACTAGCCCTGAAATATGATTTTCTGTGCTTGGATAAGAGGGGGATGAGAGGTTGTATGTGGGAGTCGAAGGCATAACTGTTCTGTTTCTGTCCAAAATGTCCGTGTGCATTTATATCATGAAAAAAATACATCAAAAAAGTTCTTTCCTCTGCATTATGTTCCCTGGGTCTCTGTGCTGAGCTACATCCTC